TATCCAGGGTGATCCAGTGTATGTGAACAGTGAGATGTTTTTGGCGCTGAAGTCGCCATAGCCAATTGAGAGTGAACTCGTATCTGAAAGCCATATCTCTGAGTTTTGAGTGGGCGCATGTCGCCAGTATGCTGCGTGCTGTTTACATACATGAAAAGTGTGTTTGAAAACGAGTCTGATTGCAGACGGAATCCCGTGAGGTTGCTGTTGGATTGGATCATGGATGATCAGATGGCTGATGTTCGTAACATGAGTTTTTTTCCTTTGTGTAGAAGAAAGGTACACTGATAATGATGATGCCTGACATTCTCCAGCTTCGAAAAGCAGCTCTGGCATCCCATTAGCCCATGAACATCTTCCTCACTGTTGTCTTAACTTGAACAAAATTAAAAATGCATGGAATGACCGTGCGAGGAATGAGCCTCGCGGAGCCCTTATCAGACATACAAGTGTTCTGGGCTGTGGGCCCCAGTGACCCTCGTACCCGCCCTAAGTGAAGGCGGGCCTGAATATCCATGTGAGGCCTGTTCTTGATGTGGGTACTCAGACAGTTGCAGCACCTCAGTTGGTTACAGAGCAACGTGAACCTCCAGGCTCTTTCCAGAAGCACCACTCACCTGCTACACAACCCTCCCTGTAAATCCAATCCACCCCCTAGTTGGGCTTGGGCCCAGGGGTAACGTCCCATTAGCAAGTGGTTTGGATGATCTGGTTCGGAGTGTGACATGTATCAGTGGATACCTAGGCTACCAGCCGAGCCGCCGGGGTCGCCTTGTTTGCCCGGGCTGCCCGGCTGTGCAACGACCATAGACGGTCCCAGCAAAAAAAAAAAAAAAAAAAATCAAAAAATTCTATTAAAATTTTCAAAAAGTTATGTTATGCACTACGCTTTCAGCCGGGCCGCCTGGGTGACTTTTTTGCCCCGGCTGCCCGGCCATCCAAGGACCATAAGAGGTCCCAGAAAAAAAAATAAAAATGAACAATTCCAAAAACCCTGGAAAAAAAAAAATGTTATGCAGAAAACGAAACTGCACAACTTTTGCCTCAGGGTCACATCGAAATTCTTAACCAATATATATATGGTCACAAACAGAACTGTATATGATATAAATTGTCACATAACTACAAACTAAAAGAGTGCACTTTGCGGAACAAAGAATAAAAGCAAAAAAGGGGCACAGTGATAACATGCAAAAATAAAAA